AGAAGACTTGAAAACGGACTTGTAGTCCCTGGATCCTTCTTGGTGGGAACGACCAGCCAAGCAAGCGTCGCAAAATTTTAAGACGAGATGATTCGTTGGAAAGGACTCTACACTCAGGTGGATGTAACAGTTGAGAGACGGAGACGAAGACCACCGTTTTTGTAACAAACCTTTCAGTAAGCAATCAAAGGAATATGAACCATGACAAATCTTAATGGAAATGTACTTTAACAGCACTATCACCAAAACAGAATAGGGTCGCTAATTGGAATAGCGAACGTCAAATCAAATCATTCCGGCACTACTCTTTCCATACCTTTTCAATACTTTGTTCTTTGTAAGTGTTCCAGTTTATACCGTCTGTGGACATGCGAACTTTGTAGGTAGTGGCTCGCTGACCTCCTTTCTGGTTTCCTTGTGTGGCCAAAGCACAAACATCGAGCACTGTACCCAGATCAACTTGAAGATACTCTGTTCCAACAGAGTTAGTCTTTGCACACCACGCTCCCCAACCCCTGTTTTCATGGGGGCGGCCATAGTAGGGATAATAGTGTGTATTGTGAAAACTGCTCGCTGTCATTCTAGCATCTGGTATTCTGTTCCTGTCCGCCACACCAACTGACTTACATACTAAATAAATATAAGTAATACAGGGCCTTGTATGAGCATAAAAATTTACGAAAGTAGATTCCTGACTCAAATAAACTTTTTTTCCTTGCCCTTTTATTGTTTGTCTGTTTGTTTCTTTGTTGTCTTTCTTGGATTTTTTCAATGTTTCTTTTCTCTCATTACCTTTCAATTTTCGAAAATATCAGGTTACTCTGTCGAGAATAAAATCGTAGCAAATATTAACTTTAATGCATTAGCGAGGTAGTTGAGCCGATAGGAAATTTAATGAGCAATTGCCAGCTGATACTGATTTAATAACTTTTTAATAACTTTAACTTTTTTTAATGTTTGAGTTAAGTAACAAGAGAAACTAAAAAAAAAAAAAGGACAAAACAGCCCAAGGAATTAATTTATATTCAATCCGCTGCAATCATCCAATGTTCAAGCTATGGTTTATTAAGACCGTACTTATAAAACGCATAAACCCAATTCTAATGAGTTAAAATTCTGCAGGATATTGCTCTATGTTAAAATAATTTTCTCCAAAACATTTCAGATGCAATTCTAGTAAGCTGAAATTTTGCAGAATATTGCTCTAGGTTGAAATCTTGTCCCAAAAGCTTTCCAGATGCTTTAAACCAACCAATCACCATTCGTATACTTGATAGGAGTCTTTAAGACAAGAACATTACAATCAAACTGATCAATCATTTTCCATATACTCCTCGTAGTCAAATAACCCAACAATAGACTCTGATCATGAAATCCGCCCAGAATACAGTCACTGTTACCTTTAACATATATTTCTTCAGATTTCTCTTAATTCTGGAAGGAATTTATAGATCTTTGTGTAACAAATAAAATGTTGAATAAAGCCATTCCTCACCTTTCCCAAGGGTCAGTTGCATTGAAGAAGACGTTTTGAACAGTTGTGCTGATGTGGCTGTACAGATATATATGCCCGAGTCTTCATCCTTAATATTCCATATCTGAAGTGTTCCATCCACACTGACTTGCGATCTTCCGACTGGCAAATCACCGTTCTCTTTAACCCACGTGATTATTGGTTGAGGGTCACCAGCGGCCTGACAAGGAACTGAAATATTTTTGTCTTTTCCTTCATCAAGCTTTGCAGGTGGATTGACTGTAAAACGGGGCAGATCCAAGACAACAAGATTTGTCAAAGCTGAGTCATGGCCTAGAATATTGGAGGCTTTGCATTCATACAAATAAGAATCTTCATTTTGAGCACTGATAATTGACAGCTCTCCGTCTTTCACAACTGTTCTGGAATGCGCAAGTTCACCGCGCCCTTTAGACCACGTGATGATTGCCGGAGGAAAACTTGTCACATGACATTTTGGTAAAGTGACGTTCTTGCCCTTCTCTACGTACGTTGGACCGAAAGAGAGTGAAATGGTAGGTTTACCTGTATATGAATGGGAGAAACATTATTACATAGAGTTAAGATAGCTACTGTCGCTTGTGTGACTCCCATACTAAAATCTTCTCCATCTTTAGAGCCTTATTTTTTGAAGTTTTATCTGATTCTAAAATTTTGCTCACAACAACTTTAAAATTTTATGTACTGTCGAACCCCAGGATTTTGTAACCCTCGAGCTGCCCTAGGAAAAACATGAATAAAAGATAATTTTTTTCAAACTTCAGAGGCGTAGGAATCATGTGGACATAAGATGGAATATTTAGACCTACTCTGAACGACGAGAATGGCAGTTTTTTCATCCTCTCCAAGGATATTTCGCGCTATGCATTTGTAGGCGCCTGCATCTTCCATCCGAACACCAGAGATCTGCATCAGACCATTTGACGTCACTTTGATCCTGTTGCTTTGAAAAGATCCATTGACCTTCGACCAGAACATTTGAGCCGCAGGGTTTCCCGAAGCAGAGCATAAGAACGAGGCTATTTTGCTTTCGTTGACGACTAGTTTCGGTGGAGAAATTGTTACTTTTGGGGTTGAGATGGACTCTCCAGGTTCACCTTTAGTCCCTGGGATACCAGGGATACCCGGTGGCCCGATGTCTCCTTTTATTCCATTCTGTCCTCTTATCCCGGTGGTCCCATGGTTCCTTGTTTTCCGCTTCTTCCCGGTGGTCCCATGCTTCCCTGGGATCCTTTTCTTCCTTTTCTTCCCTTGTCACCTTTGGGTCCAGCTCTCCCTGGAGGTCCCGGCCGGCCACGAGGACAAACATTCAGACCAGCTTTGTTGTGGCAAATCTTCCAAGCGGAATAAACGATGTCCTCTATCATTTTCCTCATCTCAGCCGACTTATTTAAAGGGGGTGGATGTGAAATACTACGCTTCAGTCGATGGATTTCAAGCTCGGCAGAGGTGGTTTGTATGACTGAAAATATATCAAATATATCAATAAAAAAGGAGAGTAACCTAATAAGACCCTTCATTGCCATCTCAAATAACACGATAGCGATCCAAGTTCAACTACAAACACAAGAAGGAAACGACAATTTGACCGTAGCGAGGACAGAAATCTTTTCCAGTTATCAAAAGTGACGTTAGAGAAATTTAAATTTAACCCCTCGTCAAATGGCTCGTGTTTATCTCTTGATTTGATTTCTCCACAAATATTATCATTTCGAGCATGAGGAGAGGTTAAATCAATATTTTAAGGCGTAGGTTTACAAGAGTCTCGACGAAGAGATTTGCTTTCTTGCTCACCAAGAGACTTAGGAGAAAGCTTTTGTTTCTTGTTGACCAAGCAGTGGGCAACACATCGATTTTAAAGTCGCCATTTAAAAAGAGTGTATTGTTTACCTTGAAAACCTCTGCGTTTTACACCTTGGCAAGTCTCCAAATTATTTTGTAAAGAAAACGAGAGAATGGACATCATGTAAAACAAGAGTCGTCCATATCGTTAGCTTTTAATCTACGTCGTTAGATATACGGTAATGTTGATATCTCAGTGAAAAGAAAATAAGACAAATAAGTCTCGTTCATATCTGTTTTGCTAAAACGAAAGTCGGAAGACATGACCATTAGCTCTTGAGTACTTTTTATCAAAAGCTTAAACCCCTAACAGTTTAGAGTGACTTGCAACTTACATAAATAACTTTAAAGGAGCACGACCAGCCACAAAACAGACAACCATGTAGCAATTGAAATAAAGACAGTCGGACATTACCTCGTTCAGAGGGAGGGAAATCCGTCCTCGCTTGTGTCATTTTATCTTGAGGTATGAATTCCTCAACAGTTTTCAACCTTCGTTCATACTCATTGAATTTAGACTCGTTTCGAATGAATCCAGCGAAGTAAAGAAGCAAACAGAAAACGCTTAGAACTGTGCCGGGGCTCATTGGGAAAGTACGCTCTTTAAGAGACATTACGAAAGCTGAATGATCGAACTTTCTCGAAAACAGCTTTCGTAGCATGTTACAGTAACCTCACACTGCCTAAATTTAAATTTAGATTAAGGTCAGTAAGCCAGACCGTTATTTGATAGCTAGAAAGACGTCATAAATAAGGGACGCTACGTTTGCCGCGGTTGTCTAGTTTGATCTACTTTTTAAAAGTTATTGATTTGATTGAACGAAGGCGATCAATTTAATAGTGAGACAGACTACATGGTTAAGATTCCTAGCCTGAAGAATTCTCCAGTACAGTTCGCTAATGTATCATATCTAACCTCCCGTATTCCGTGAAGCTTTCCGGACAGTTTCTCTTTCCCCATGATATCAACCGACCTAGGTCGGGGGCGCGTTGTGTGACTTAGTAACGAAATTTTATCCAGAAACACAAGACATAACACACAAGTTATGACATGGATCGGGTTTAAACCAAGACTTTTCCATCTAGAGGGAATAAGCTTAATGTACAGTAGTTGCCTTTCAGTCACTTGGTCCTTAGTCGCCAGGTCTGTCAAAATTATACTGTAATCTTTTGGTTTGCCGATGGAGTCGAGAAATTGTTTTCACAAGAATTAAGGTTAATATTTATCAATACCTTTCGTGAGACGCACACCTTTGAATCTACTCGAATCTACACTCACACTTTTTGAATCTAATTAAATCTTCCAGAACCTGTAATAAGGAAGAAAAGGTAATGATATTTTGCTTTCTTGGCAAAGGAATAAGCTGCGCAACATAAGGGCCACCACGAGATGGAAACGAATGCGGACCCTATTCTGCTGACTGTTGGAGGAATGAAAATCTACCTTACCGGGGTTGGGGTGAGGGGGGCGTTGTCAGAATATCAGTGATCGCCGATCAAGTTTTGTATCACGATCAAATTTGACGGTTGTTTTCCATCGAAGCTGTTGTGGTTCGACTGGAATTTGAAAAAAAAGGCGTAGTAACCGTTACCATGCCTTTTTTTTCAAATTCTTTTGTGAGTGGGACACACAAAAAAATTCATAGAAGTTGAATTACTGTTGTTTATTGCAACTTTAATTCCTTCTTTACTAGATAACACACCGGTGTCTGTGTAACAGTTCAAATAAATTGTCTGATGCGATTAATTAATCTTTCATTTCATGAATCAAATACCAAAGAGGTTTAAAGATCATTTTGGTGGATTCAGCTATTAATAGCAGCGAGTGCTTGAAAAACAGATCCTAGGTACTAAATGGACATGAAAACTTTTTTTCTCCTTAAAAAGCGAATCTATCATTTTAGGAGTCAAACTATCATCTGTAAATCGCGTTCGTGCGACAGCTTTACTACTTTTCTTCACTATGTAGTGATGTTGAATAGTCACCCATGGCAATTAATGTGGCATAGGGAGCTGCTTTGGTTTGTTTTAGCATACTCCTATTGGTTCACGCATGTTTGACGGGTTGATGTTGTTCTCCTACAGATCTGCTTTGTTTTTGGATGAGCACTCTGTTTTTAAGTTGCAGGTATCCATGCCTCAGGAATCTCGATTTTACAGTATCTCTAAATTTTATTTTCACAAAGCATTAACTTTTTAGAAAAGAAAACTAACACCGATAGCAGCTAATCATAACGCTTAATGAAGAAGCAACAGTGAGCTCACATATCTTTCAGTGGAGATCTGGAATACATTTTCTATTTTACCTTTATTCTGAATAACTGTTTTATTTTACTGTAACGAAATGAATGTAGCCAGGGGCGGATCTAAGGGAAGGTGCAGGGGTGCACACCCATCTTCCCCTAAGATGACCGGCAACTTTATTAAATAACTAGTATTGTACAAAATAAGAAAAACAAATAATGATGATAAAATGAAAAAACAAAACTGTGTGAATTATTGGCATTGAAATAGAACACGAGGTTAGAGAATTTATGTTAAATGCGGTCAAAATGATAGGTTGGCGTTGACTTTTCGAGCGTCAGCCCTTATGTTGGTCAGAGGAGAGGTTCGTCAGTTTTTCTCCTATTTTTGTGTTAATGAATGTCTACACTTATACGAACCCTTTAACGTATTACTTAAGCTCAAATATTTCAAATCTCAAACATGGCCAATTATGGTATGTTACAGGATAAGATAACCAGCGGCTTTCCTATATAAATAGTATTGTGCAAAATAATAATATGAAAAACAAAACTGTGTGAACTATCAGACCCTCTGTTCGTTAGAGGACACGTCAGTTAGGTGATTCCTTTGTGGTGCACCCACTCCTTCGAAACATCCTGGATCCGCCCCTGGGAATGATTAGTTTGTTAACTGAATAATTTTATTGGTTTACCTGCAAATGTTTGTTTTCCTACTTTAAGACTGTTTGTATACTTTTTCTCCTTCTGTTTTTATGTTGATGCACAACTACACACATACGAACTCTTTACCGTATTACTTAAGCACAAATATCTCAACCCTCAAACATGGCCAACGATAATATGTTACAGGATAAAACCGAACGTATCTGGCTTTGAAGTCAGTTCTGAGTGAATGCTTCACGATACTGGTCCGATCTGAGTTTCCTGTGAACACCTGTAAAAAAAACAAAAAACAAAACAAAACAAAGAAATTGAACAACTTGGTATGGTGCACCAATTCTATATACAGTTAAGTAAGGAGGCGCTGGGAGGAGGGGGAGGGGAGGTGTGGGGGCCATTTGAACAGGTCTTAACTGCTCACACACTCCAAACGGCGTTCATTTTTCCGTCACTTTTTCACCCTTTTTTTATTACGGATTTTTTTATTACTCATCATCCGATAGCCAGAAGTAGATGGTCAAGGTGACACGATTTTTTCCTTTATTGAGCTGCAAGACGGCTGTTGTTGAGTCTTTTCCCGGATATAAATGTTGCTAACATTTAAGCTACTGTCTGCAGCATGCACATATTATGTCACTATCATGATTTACGAACAAAAAAACGAAACAAAACAAAACAAAAAAACAAACACGAAACAAAGTCATATGAATCCACGACAAAGACAAGGTTAGGGACAGAATAAGAGACGGAACGGAGACTTCCTGTCTCACGAAATGGGGAAAACAATTTCATGCGAAATGCTTTAGTTAATATATCCTGGATGGAAAAGTCTTAGCAGTACATTGCGCGACTAATTTCTAAATCTCTTCGACCTCATGCAGCACACGAAAGAATAGATAAACTACACTTTCTTAAGTCTTTGAACCATTCCATAAAAGAAGCATCAGACGCCTTTCAGAATTTTCAAGCAAACTCGTCATACTACACAAGCTTGTCATCTCCGACGACATTCTCTGCTGCAGTAGCCAATGGAGTTACACATCCAAATTCAGCATTTAAATGTATTTCTGTTTGCTAATTATTTGCATTGGCTTCAAACTCTTTTTTAATTGCTGATATTAAAATGTCAATAACAGTTCTCTCCATACCTTTTCAATATTCGTTTCGTTGTAAGTGTTCCAAGTTATATTGTTTGTAGATAATTGTAGTCTGTAGCTAGTGGTCCATTCATCTCTCACCAATTCTCCTTGTGTGGCCACAGCACAAACAGAACGCACTAAGCCCATATCAACTTGAAGATAGTCTGTTCTATCAGTTGATCTACGAGGACACCACCCTCCTGCTCCCCTGGTTTCGTGCAGTCGGCCATAGTATGGATTGAAAGAACTACTGTAAACACTGGTCGCTGTAAGTCTGGCATCTGTAATGACATTTTTGTCTGTCACACCAACAGGCCCACATTCTAAATAGGAGTAAATAAAATAAACATTAAGGCTTATCTTTAGCTGTGTGTATTGTTTTTCTTCCCTATATAGAACAAAATGAAATAACTAGTAACGACTTTGGGTGCGGATCATGCTGGTAATTGAAAAAGATAAGAACACTAAACGTTACTAACAAGCAGCGTAAAATTCATGAACGTCAGGTGACCCACACAATTTCTTTGCGTCACCTTAACGCGCTTTTATAAGTAGCCTCACAACTTTTTCTTTAAAAGCTATTATTTTCTGTCACACTAACAGGCCCACATTCTAAATAAGAGTAATTGAAATGAACGCTGAGGCTTGTCTTTACCCGCCTGTTTTTGTTGTTTTTCTTCCCTATCTAGAGCAATATGAAATGACTAGTAAAGACATTGGGTGCGAATCATGCTGAGATGGTTGGAAAGGATAAGAATACTACATGTTAGTGACAAGAAGCGTAAAATCCATGAATGTCATGTGACCCACACCAATTCTCTTCGTTAAGTCAACGCGCTTTGATAAGTAATCTAACAACTTTTCTCTATCAAATATGTATCACAATGCTGAACAACGTTTTTATGTGAATTTTAGACTTACATTCTCATAAGAGGATTAAAATAGAAATTGAATGTCCTCCCTCTTAGATTCCTTTACGGCCCCCTTTGCCCAACATTAAGCGAAGGCGAGGCAAAGGAGACCGTAAAGGATTCTATTCGGATGATAATGATGATGATAATGAAAATGACAATAACAACCT